CAGTCGGTTGGTTCATTCCTCAAATGGCTGCAATAACTAGGGCTGGATCAGGCTGAAGCTAAGATTCTGGAATCCATCTTAATGTGTCCAGTGCATGGCAGGGACCCAAGCACTTGGGCCATCTTCTGCTCCTTTCTCAGGCACATAAGCAGGGATCTGGATCAAAGCAAAGCAGCCAGGACTTCAACTGGCACCCTAATATGGGATGCTTGCATTGCAGTCAGCTGCTTAGCCTGTGGTAACAGGGTCCTCTGCATGTTCAATTTAAACACTATGCATGGGAAGAAGGAATTGTTCTGGGTTCACAACAAAGGCTTATGATCCTCCAAAAAACTACCAGTAGAAGCCAAGAGTTTGAAACTGAATATTAAAACTTCCTTCCTAATGAATTATTAGGGATGTTTCCATTTCCAATTTTCAGGAAGAGAACAGTTGCTAGTTGAGGACAGATGTGTGAAAATAAGTCCAAGGTAAATACTGACAACAAAGGAACTTACTAAGAATTGCCAACTCCTATCTCTCATGCCATTAGCAACTATTGTTTCCAGAAAAGAAACAAGGAGCACTTGGTACTTATCTGTATTGTAATGTCATTACGAACTAATGACAAATGCAGTAATTCCATGTATTCAAGTCCTACAAAACAATCTATTTTGTGTAATCTCTCTCTCCCCTCCTCTCTCTCATTCCCTATTATTGATCAAATAGATAATCTAGATTTCCTGTAGAGTGCCAGTTCTGCTGATTGAATGGAGTGATCTCATTGCTCTAAGTCATTTAAACCAAGTTATGTTTTTGAAAGACAAATGCATTCTTTTTTTGTAGAATTCTATTTAGAATTCTGATTTTCTGTCTTTTCTAAAATCCAGTGGGAAATGATAGTGCAATTATGCAAGTATTGATACACAACTGACATAGAGTGTTTCTGTAGAGAAGAAAGTGCTTAGGGTATAAATGTCAGCAATTTCGAAAAAGCTAATATTAATTATCAGGAACTCAAGGGGAAAATAAATATTACTTACGGGAATAATAGACACAAAGGGCTGAATGCATGAAAAGGTTTGGTTCTACTTTGGGGAATTTGTAATTATTTCACTCATATATTCCCAATGGCAAAAAAAACTTCTTCCTTTCAGAATTGCATTATACGAATTCTAGCACCTTTTGTTAAAGGATATATACATTAACACAGCTATTCACTATGCACAAATTTATAATCAGACCGACCATATCTATGATTGTTCCATATAGTCCTACTTTTTTATTTATTCATACAGTTATTCAATGTATTTATTGGGGACTGCAGCGATTAAATCTATGATGTCCGCTTACCTGGATTAAGGGATACTTGGAAGCCTGGAAACATTATTTTGGATGTGTCTGTGAGGGTGCTTATAAACAAGAGTAGCTTGTGACTCTGAGTGGACCAGATGGGCAAGACCTAGCAATGCAGGTGACACCGTCAACCAGCTGGGGGTCTGGAGGGACTAAATATAGAACAGGAACTTCTTTCGTGTTCTGGGAGCTGGGATGTTGACACCTATCTTGTATGCTAGCTGCTGGCCTTTGGACTCTAGAACTTATACCCCCTTGCTGGCATTCAGTCTTTGAGCCACACATTGACACACACCCCTGGCCTCTCTGATTCTAACTCTCTGATTTGGACTAAGCTCTACTACCTAGGTCTCCAGCCTGCACAGGACATGTCTTGGGACTTCTCTGCTGCCACAATTGCTTGAGCCAAATGCCCTATTAAATACTTCGTTACATACTATATACCTATTCTGTTGATTCTGTACCTCTTGAAAACCCTGAGTAATGCAGGGCCTGCCATGTAGAGTGCACTGGATCCATCACTGTTAACAAGACAAATCCCACTGTGAACAGAGGAGAGATATTGCAATGTTTTCAGTTGAAGAGAAGTGAAATTAAGTGTATACATGTGTCTTTCTGTGCTACAATTGTGAATCTGTCTTTATGTTAGATGGATTAAAAGCAACCTGTCTTACGGAAGATTACCTTATTTAATTCATTTTCTGAATATGTCTCTGAAGTTTCTACTCAGGCTTTCAGGATCAGATGGTAAGGGAAGATTTAAAATATTAGTCAGTTAATACAAAAGTGAATTAAGTACATGAAACATAGTACTGAACAAATTTTAGCTCTTTCCTACTTAATAACTTTCTAGAAAACGTTTCTGCTGTGCTAAACTGTCACTCTACTGACACAATCCAGGATCACACTCTGGCTTTGGGGAGAGCCAGTGTAACTTTACGGTGTCATTTACCAAACCTTGAGTCAGGTCCCACTTTGCCCATCTAAATTGAGAAAGGGAAAAGTCCTCGTTGCTATAATGAGATCCCAAGATGTGTGAAGAAATCAGACTCTTCTTTGACTTTAGTTCATTCTATCTGTAGTAGAATAGGCTTAACTGTATTGATAGGAAACCAATCTTTCCATGTGGAAGGAACTCTATATTCAAATTTCAGTACCTGGCTCCAGTTGAAGTCTTGATATGTACCCTTTCTTTCTGTTTGGCAAAACGCTTCTGTCTGTTTAGTAGAAGTAGAATCTAAGCAATAACTCCTTCACTTGTGTCAGGTTAGCATTAGCATGTATGACTTTAATCTTTTTTGCTTTTTCATTTGAGTCAGAGAGAGAAGGGGGAGAGACAGATAGGGATGAGATAGACATAGAGAGGAAGGGAGGGAGGGAGAGAGAGAGGGAGGAGGGGGGAGAGGAGGAGGGGGGAGAGGGGGAGGGGGGAGGGAGAAGGAGAAAGAGAGAAAGAGAGAGAGATCCCTCATTATCTGGTTCAGTCTCCAAAACCCATAATGGCGAGATCTGGGCCAGTGCTAAAGCAGGGAGCTTGCAACTCAATCCAGGCCTCCCAGGTGGGTGGCAGGAACCCAATTACTTGAATCATCATGCTGTCTCCCTGAGTATTAGCAGGATGCTAGAGTCGATTGCTAGAGCCAAGCATTAAATCTGGGTGTTTAATGTGAGATGCAGTCATCTTAATTGGTGTCTTCAGTGCTAGATGAAATGTCTGCCTCTGGAACTTTCTTTGATAGGCATTCTTTACTTGAAGAGAATTCTACTTATTTGAAGTGAGGCTAGAAGGATTCTGTCTTACCAGATATGTTTATTAATAACCTAAACAATCTTTGTTTTGCAGCAGATTTTTTAACAGATAATATCTGTTAAGATACTATCCAAATCTGATGCAACAAAGATCCATAATCAAGACTAGTAAATGCAAATGTCTCTTGTGAAGAAAATCTTTGTTTTAGGATGTTAAGTCTTAAAAGCTCTAACTTGTGGAAGTTGCAGGTGAATGATTCATCCAGCTTGCTTGTTTGCATTAGCTATGCTCAGCTTGCAGGTGTTTGGGATAAAACAGCTTGGTGTTTGCTGTAAACAGGTTGCAGAGGAAGAGCATCACACAAGAAACATCTCTTGTTATTATGACAAACACAGCAAATCCATTTACAGCCACTACTTAACTGTAAATTGCAGTTACTTAAAAAGAGAAAGTAGGGGCAGGTGTTTAGCCTAGGCTTAGGACACTGGTGAAGATACTCACTCCCCACATCAGAGTACTTGAATTTGACACCCAGCTCCAACTCAAGACCACACTTTCCTGCTAATACAGACCTTGGGAGGCAGCGGGAATGACTCAAGTAAGTGGTTCTGTGCCACACACATGGAAGACTTGGATTGTGTTCCTGGATCTGGGTTTGACCTAGCCCAGTACCAGCTGTATGGGCATTTGGGGGTTGAGCTAGCAGATGGGAATTAACTGTGAGTATAAATTAGGATGGAAACATAATGCCTTTGATAGTATTATTCCTTAGGTTTCTATCACAGTCTTCAGAAGATTTTCAATCCAAGATCCAACTATTACAGAGTTCTGACCTCAATTTCCAAGGTAGCTTCCGGGGTTGTTAAGGATCTGTTGTATGCGTTAAGGTTAGGCGTGCTTTAATTCTGTTAGGGTCACCCAATAGTACATAACAATTCTTTGAGTTGATTTAGCAAGAGAAACACTTTTTTTTTTTAATAGGTTGTTTATCTTGGACAGTTGGAATGATAGAGTAATCCTATTTCCAGTATCTAAAATGTGAATGCCTCTGAGAGAAGCAGGCATGATTAGGCAAAGAAAGGCAGAAATCAGGACATAGCCATCTTGGTCTAGTGCGCAACATAGAGCTTTAAATCCTTCTGCCCTGAAGGTTGGTGTCCATTTATAAAAAGAACTTTCTTATGTGAAGTGCAACTAACTCTTTGTATAATAAATGGCAGTTTTAAAAAGCGGATTGATAATATTTTCACCAAGATTTTGTTTGGTCAAATTGTTTAAGTTCTGTTATTGGAGAGTGGATAAAAGAATATTAACATTTGGTCTCCGTGACAGTGGCAGAAATGTGCTAGCACTAAACAGTGTTTTATATTCAAAACCATATTTTTACAGGAAAGAGGTATATGAGAGTTGTCTGTTTTTTTTTTCTATTCCTATATCTATAAACCTAAAACTGCTTATAAATAAGATTGACTGAAATATAAAGACCACAAACCTTTGTAAAATAGATTCATCCAGGCACTAAATGGAATCTTTTAAATAAGAATTACAATCTAAGAAATATATTTGTCAATAGGAAAATTAAATTTAAAATCTTCTTAAATAATCTCCTCCTGGCCTAACAATAATTCAAAACCCAGCCTAAAAATAATTCAAAACCCAGACTGATTTAATTTTAAGACACCAACTATATGTTGAATTAATAATATGCATATTGGAGAGAGGAGCTGTTGTGCCAATTGTCACATAATGAATTTTTTCAGTTAATATTCATTAAAAGAGCAAGGTAACACATGAAGTTCCGGTCTTCTTTGTTTTAAGTAAAAAAAAAAAAAGTTCCAGGAAAACCAGAACAAAAACACCACATTCCACAAAAGTCAACAGAACAAGACATATGTAAACCACTGTGACTACTTACTAACAAGAGCAATGGGGTCTTCAAAGATGAACAGTTTGTACGTTGCAGTGTCCTGCTAGTGAGAAAGAAATGCAGCTTTCTCTTTGGCTGATGTTGAGGTTGATTTGTTCTGAGAGGAGGAGCGTGGTGGGGGCAAGAGGCACGGAGTCACCACACAAACCACGGGAGTCAGGTGAAAGCAGGCCTGAGGCGAGCAGCCTGCAGGAGTGTTTATTTCAGTTGCTACAGCAGCTTATATAGCCAAGGCAGCCAATCTGGTCTAGGGGCGGTCTATGCCTTAACCAATCACACCCTGTTGCCAGGCAGTTTCTGAAGCCATCCAATCACAGCCTGTTGCCAGGCAGGCTCCATTGTCATGTGGTTTCCAAAGCCATCCAACCACGGCCTGTTGCCAGGCAGTTTCTGTTGCCAGCGGCCATCTTGGCAGAGCCTTCTCATTCCACCACATTTCCCCCTTTTCGTTTGTTTTTGAGCAACGGGAGGCATGATTCTTGGCCATACCATTCTTGTCCCTGTTTCCATGTGGTCTCTGTACGTGGCTGTGCCTGTCTTAGGTTGTCCCCCAGGGGATCTTACCCATCATTGACTAACCAGCACTCAAAATGGGAGACCACAGAAGTGCTTGCTCTGATGGGGGTAGGAATGAGGAACAATGGTAATCAGGAATGGCGTTACCACATGCAGGCTGTGGGCTGTTTGAGTGGCTGACCAGAGCTAGTGGGTATAAAACAGTAGCAGATGTGGCTATGGGCAATTCCTCAGGGCAGGATGATAGGGCAGCTGCGTCCACTAACAAGGCGGACTCTGTCTTGTTCAGCTGGTTCTAATTGACTGTTAGTTGCAGGCTTGATGTTTCTGGCTGGTACCCAAATGGGCTGTCCCGCATTGTCTGGAAAGACACAAGCATATCCTCGGCCCCTGGTTAGCAGAAGCCTTTTTACAGACGTTGGAATCCAGGGCCTGAATTCTGCATCTGCTCCTACATTTACGGCAAACATGCGGGTGGGATGAAGTCTAGCACTGCTCTGAGAGCTTGGGGTGCCTAGGGACTGCCACAAATGTGGGGATGCAGACTGGGTGTGGATGGGATGACCTTGCATGGGTTATTGCTTTGAGGTCGTCTAAGTTCATCCCATGGGTATGTGGGGGGTGGCTGACTAGGTATTGCTGTGTTGTCTGCTACCTTGTTTGCTGCATTGTCATTTTCACTGTCCAAGCTTTCTCTCCCTAAGTCATCAACTGTTGTCTGTGAGGCAGAGGCCTGGAGTGACTGGCTCTTATCACTCACAGATTCACTATGTTTGGTAATCTGTGTGGGATTCTGAGAGGGGGGTATCTTTCCCATGTTTGAGTGCTTAAGAGCGGTGTGCTCTGCCAACTTTAGCCAAAGGAAAGACACGCACAGCACTGCTGCCATAACAAAGCAAATTCCTAGCAACTCAGCAGCTGAGGTCATTATGCAGGGGCTTCCCTACATTAGACAAACAGACAGTAGTGTATCAGATCATATGTATGTCCTGTGCTAAGTGGGGGACTTCCTTGACTTGTTAGGTCAAGGCTGTATGCCCACATAGTGTCTCCGGAGTGTCAACTCTCTCGAGTGAGGGAAGATGACTTGGTTCCAAATTCTGGGATGATCAGTCACTTGTGTGAATTGGCGGGGTGAACCGAAAGTAAAAGGAGGAGCCGAGAAGTGGTGTTATGCTTCTGGGCGGTATGTGCCTAACCTGGGGTCACTTCAACCGAGGACAAGGAAAGGGGTGTAGGAGGGGGTTCTGTGCTCACCCTCACAGAACCGAACAGCAGACAAAACACTGAGGGGCCTACTTGCTGAAATCAAGGGGACGTTGTCTCTCTCTGACACATTTGGTGTGCCAGATGTATCAGATCATATGTGGAATGAGAAGGCCCTGCCAAGATGGCCGCTGGCAACAGAAACTGCCTGGCAACAGGCCGTGATTGGATGGCTTCGGAAACCACATGACAATGGAGCCTGCCTGGCAACAGGCTGTGATTGGATGGCTTCAGAAACTGCCTGGCAACAGGGTGTGATTGGTTAAGGCATAGACCGCCCCTTGACCGGATTGGCTGCCTTGGCTATATAAGCTGCTGTAGCAACTGAAATAAGTCTGCAGGCTGCTCACCTCAGGCCTGCTTTCACCTGACTCCTGAGGTCTGCGTGGTGACTCTTGCCCCCACCATGCTCCTCCTCTCAGAACGAATTAACCTCAACAGGCTGACACTTCAAAATAGCAAATTGGCTATTCTCTCATGGCTGTGAGCTTGAAAATCTTGGACATTTATTTCCTTCTTTGATGTAAAAAAAAAAAAAAAAAAGATACAACATAAAAAGAAATATTATCCTGAAGTGTTTCTGCTTCCCAAGACCCTTGGTAATTAATGTGTGTAGAATATAATGGATATTTTGAGTTTTCCTAATAAAGTTAATTCAGGTAGAATTGCTTCCATAACATAGTAAGTATGCATAATTAAAATATTTGTTTATTTTTCATCTATTTGAAAGGTAGAGAGAAAGAAAGGGAAAGAATCTCCATCCACTGATTCACTCACCAAATGCCTATAACATCCAGAATTGAGCCAGATCAAAGCCAAGAGCTCAGAACTTGCCACATAGCTGGCAGGGACCCATGTACTTGAACCATCATTTGCTGCCTCCCAGGATGCTGTATTAGGGAGCTGCATAGGCAGCAGAGTAGCTGGGACTTGAACCAGCATTCCAGTTTGGCATGTGGGTGTCCTAATCAGCAGCTTAATCTCTGTGTTATAGTGCCAACACCTGTACATAATTTTTATGTCTTGAAAAAGATTGCTGACACATAACTCATTTTGTCAAGGGACATTTAGTTTGTTTGCATCTTTTGTATAAAGTTGTTGTGAACTTTGATTTGCAAATGTCCCTTTGAACCCTGGCTTTTACTATCAGAAATAGAATTGCTGGGCCATGTAGTTCTATGTTTATTCTTTTGAGGAGTTGCCATACATTTTCTGTAGCAGCTATACCATTTTCCATTCTCAGCAGTAGGGTGCCTGGGTTTTCATTTGTCCATATCTTTTTCAACACTTATTGCTTTCTATTTTTGTTTGTTTGTTTTAAATAGTAGCCATGATGCTGTGAAGTGCTGTCTCCTTGTGATTTTGAAGTCCATTTACCATTAGTGATGTTGAAATTTATTTTTCATCTGCTTATTGGTTAGTTGTATGTCTTTTGTGGAGAGGTGTCTTTTTAAGCCCTTCACATATTTTTGAGTTAAGTGTTTTTGCTTGTTGTTTTTGTTGTTTATAACTCCTAAAAATCAAAAACAGACATATATATGCATATATTTTCTGGGCAGTAAACTTTTATTGTATATGTAAATTGCAAATATTTTCCCATATTGTGGTTTGCTTTTTTTACCCTGTTGATGTAGTTCTTTGATATGCATAAGTTTTTTAATTCTCTGGGTGTCCAATTTGTCCTATTTTTTCTTTGATTATGTCTGCCTTTGATGTCATGTTCAAGGAATAACTGCCAAATCTTAGGTCATGAACGTTTTGCCCTATGTTTTCTTCTAAGCAGTTTACAATTTTAGGTCTTATATTTATTTTGATTCATTTTTATTTTGTTTTTGTTCATGCTGTTAGGTAAGGTCCAACAATATTTTTCAAAGATTTATTTGTTTATTTGAAAATTAGAGTAATGGGACTGGGGTAGGAAGGGAGAGTGGGGGAGGGGAATATGAGCCTTCCATCAGTTGGCTCACTTCTCAAATACCTGACTATAAGCTCTGTCTGGGCCCAAGTGAAGCCAAGATCCAGGAACTTCATCCTGGTATCTCACATAGCAAGGCCCCACTTGGTCATCTTCAGCTGCCTCTCCAAGCACATCAGCAGGAAGCTGAATTAGAAGCAGAGTATTCAGGACTCAAACTTGCACTCTGATATGAGATGTTGTCATCACAAGTGGCAGCTTAACCTACTGTGCAACAAAGCCAGCTCCTCACATGTGGACAGTTTTCAGTACTAATTATTGAATAAATAAACTTATTGAATACTGTCCTTCCCCACTGAGTGGTCTTAACATCTTTGTCAAAAATCTTTTTGTTTTATGTGAGGGAATCTGTAGGCTTATATATTTGCTTTCATGTCTACTTTACCGTTTTGATTACTATAACTTTGTAATAAGTTTTAGAATCATGATTCTGCCAGTTTTGTAATTTTTTTAAAAAAGAATGTTGTGGCTAATCTGGGTCTCTTGTGTTTCCATATGAATTATAATATGGAATTTTTCTATTTCTGAAAAAAATGCCATGGAAATTTTGAATCTATTGATTGCTTTGAGAACTTATTGACATTTTTGCACTATGAAGTCTTCTGGTATGTGAACATGGGATCTCTTTGCATTTATTTGTATCTTCCTTATTTTCTTTCTGCAATGTTCTGTAGTTTTAATTGTATAGTATTCTTTTTCAAATATTATAGCAAACCAATTAATGTGATTTTTTTATACTGGTTTGATCCTTAGCACATTACCAACATATTGCAACCTTGCATGGCATATTATCTTTCATGCCAACTTATTCTATTTGTGGATAGAGAAATGCTTATTAATTATACCTGTGTTCTAAAAATATACTGGGGCAGTTAAGTGGCATTTAATGTAGTATATTTAGAAAATAGTATCACTACACAAACCTATTAGTATAGTACTGTCATTTTCAGATTACATTTCACTGAGCTCAGTAATCTATGAAATTTACTACTCCAGTGAAAAGTAAAATACTATAATATCCTTTGCCTTTTTTATGGTTCTCATTTTCTTACTTAATGGACCTGCTATTCCAGACATTGTTTTCCTCTACCTTTTAATCAGCTTAAATGTTTCAAAACATCTTTAATAAGACAAGTCATGTTACAAGTAAAATAGAAATTCTCTGTGTAGTAAAACTTAATTATTTTTCTTTTGACAATATAAAGAGATGATGTAAGATTCTCATCTCCATGCTCAGTACTCTGGGAATGAAGGATCATATGCCATTAAACCAGTCTTCATTACACTAGATGTTCTATATCAAGGAAAATCTTAACATTCCATAGATTATGACACACATTTTTTAGGAAAACAGTGAATTAAAATGAAAGACAATCCATCTTTGACATCTTTACACTTTTCAGAATAAATGTTCCAAAATTTTCATTAACTTATTTACAGTTTATTCAATGAGTAATTAATCATCACATATTTGATCACTGCCTCTTATGGGTTAATTGCACTGCTATACATTGGGGCCCATGAAATTCAGCTCCCAAGTTGGCCTTCAATGCCTTGTTTCCTGCTGTTTACCGCTTGCATCGTGCTACCTAGATTGCACCAATGTTGGCCCTGTGACTGATAGAATATTGCACATATGGTGGCATGTCACTGCTGAGATTAGTCAACAAAAATTGTGACTTCCATCTTGAACTTGGGTCACTCTCTCTGCGGAAATCATGGTACTGACATTAGTAGCACTACAGGTTGATCCAAGTGGGCACAATTGAAGCCTTCTGCCTGCAGCCACATGAGTGAACAGGGAAGTGAATCTTCCCAGCCACGTTAAATGCCAAGGGAC